CAAGTTGACAAGATACACAGCCAAACTAATTCTCACTTCTTAGACCACAATGCCCTGTCTCCCTTATCCTTTTTACCTGGTGTTTTCAGCCATCTCAGGTGGTGTTTTCCTAGGCAACCCCCTTGAACCACCCTGATCTGTCCCTAATAACTCTAATCACTTTCAGGGATTTGAACACGGTGCAGGTGTTTTAATGAGATGACTCATCTCCATGCAGACACTGTCACTGCACTAAAGGGTGAAATGATAATCACCTCCCAGCAGGATGACTTCCCTGTGCGCCAAGCCTTTATCTCAGGGATGAAATGCCCTCCTGTGCACACTCTCTGAGTGTGGCCGAGGCTGCTACTGCCCCAGCGAACATACTAGGTAAGTTGTCCCTTCTTTTCTGATAGATTCTTTCTCTGGAAATATCTTAAGAAATGCGATGTAAAACCACATGATTTTTTGACACAAATTTTAGGAATGCTGTCCAGAACTGACCAGGAACTCATGGGCTCATATGATTCACTTATTTTAGCCCACATGTGTGCATGGCTAGTTAGAACAACTAAAACATTTGTGGTAGCATACTGTGTTCAGTTGGATCTGTGAACATACCTCTGAGTGTTTACTATAAGACCCACACAACTATACATTCTCCCTTTCTTACTGACCTTTAGTAGCAGGATGAATCTTATTATCATTAAATTCTTTTTATGTACCCTTTCATAAATATGATGGAAATGTCATTAAAAATTGAATAAGACATTACTAGGATTCTGGGTCAGGAAGAATTACAGTCCTTAGATACACTACAATGGCAGTGCCTTGATAGCTCTACTTCTCCTGTGCCCTTCTCTCCTGTCCAGTGTGTTTCCAAGGCTGTCACCCAATCCAGTGTTCAGGCAGTAGAAACAGAGTCTGCTCCCAACCAGCAGACCTGAGAAGGAGCACTTTCCTGTCTTTGTTCTAGAAGTAAGATGTGTCCAGCTTATTCCTTGCTTGTGTCTCCACAGGGAACATTTTCACACAGAAAAGGAGGAAGAGGTTTGTGAATAACTGCAGCTATTAAATGACTTGGGGACCTGGGATCTTAGCAGGTCCAGGATTGAGCTAGTGTCTCATGTCGGTGTGTTACTTTAGTGCCCACTTTTCATTCCTCAGGACATCGTGACAAAATCTGTGTGTACACACTTGAGTGTCCTTTTCTTTCTCATCTTCCCCTTTGCCCCCATTGTCTGTAACACTGGAAATAATCTTTTGTTTCAGTTATGCAAAATATTTTTTTGCAATGCCAGAAGTTGATCTTGGAGTCTTGTGCATGCTGGATAAATATTCTACCACTGAGATACATGCATAGCCATTTAAGAATTTCTGTTACTAACATATTTTATTTTGAGCATTTCCTACTTTATCTCCTGCATCCCTTATCTAGATTGTAGTATTTTCCAAAACCTAATGACTGTTATACAAGTTATTAGTATAATAGGAACAACTTTTTTTTTCAAGACATGGTTTCTCCATAGTCGTGGAGCCTTTCCTGGAATTCACTTTGTAGACTAGGCTGGCCTTTGTCAAACTCACAGAGATCTGCCTGTCTCTGCCTCCCGAGTGCTGGGATTAAAGGTGTAAGTCACCACTGCCCAGCTAATAGCAGTAATTGTTTTTTATGTTTTATTTAGAAACAATCTTATTTTACATATCAATGCCCCCATTCCATCTCCCTCCCATCTCCCCCACTAAGCCCCCTCAACCTACCCTCCACCCTCTCCCCAAGGATAGTGAGGCTTTCCATGGGGGATCATCAAAGTCTGTCACAACATTTGTGAGAGGGCCTAGGCCCTCCTCCATGTATCCCTCCATAGGGAATGGGCTCCCAAAGTCCATTTGTGCATTAGGGGTAAATACTCGTTCCACTGTCACAGGTCCCATAGACTGCTCAGGCCTCCTAACTGGCACCCACATTCAGAGGGCTTCACTCGACCCAATGCTGGTCCCCCAGCTTTACAACTGGGGTCCCTGTGCTCTCACTAGGTCAGGTCAGCTGTTTCTGTAGGTTTCTCCACTATGGTCTTGACTCCTTTGCTCATTCCTCCTCCCTGTCTACAACTGGATTCCACGAGTATGACTCAGTGCTTAGCTGTGGGTGCTTTCTTCTGCTTCCATCAGCTACCAGATGAAGGCTCTAGGATGGCTATTAAGGTAGTCATCAATCTCATTATAGGGAAAGGGCATCAAAGGCGGTCTCTCCATTATTACCTAGATTCTTAGTTGGGGTCATCTGAACATTTCCCTGGTGCCAGATTTCTCTTTAAACCTATATTGGCTCCCTCTATTAAGATGTCTCTTTTCTTGCTCTCCTCTATCCCCCCCCCCGCAACTTAGTCTTTCTGATCCCTCAAGTTCCCCCACCCTCCTTCTCCCCTCTTCTCTTTTTCCTACCCTGCCCCCCATGCTCCCAATGTGCTCATGAGCTCTTGTCCCTTTCCCCTTCTTTGGGGGACCATGTGTTTCTCTCTTAGGGTCCTCCTTATTTCCTAGTTTCTCTGGTGCTGTGGATTGTAGACTGGTAGCCCTTAGCTCTATGTCTAATACCCATATATGAATGAGTACATACCAGGCTTGTCTTTCTGTGGCTAGGTTACAGCAGTAATTTTTAAACACATGAAAATTTCTTACAAAAATTCTATTTGTAAAGTTATTTGGAGTTGTTGATTCTATTTTGTGTGTGTTAGTGTTTTGCCTGCATGTGTGTCTGTGTAACATGTATGTGCTGGGTATCAGAAGAGGTCATTGGCTCCTTTGTAACTAGAGCTCTGAACAGTTGTAACCCACTGTTTGATTACAGGGACCTGAAGTTACCTCCAAAGGTACAACAGTGCTCTTAACTGCTGACCTATCTCCTTCATCTCTAACTACAGTTATTTTTGTGATTGTAATTGAATCACAGCATTTCTCCTAAGCCTTTTCTCCCTCCCAACCATCCTATGTACTGTCATCACTCTCCTTCAACTCCATGGCCTCTTTCAGTCTTCTTTTGATGAAGGTGAATTTGAGGAAAACATTACATTTTAGGTGATTTTTTTCTATCATTTTTTCTTTGGTGAGGAGAGTATGTTGCTTTGCTTGTTCATTTGGTTTGAGACAGGGACTCACTGTATAACCTTGAATAGCCACAAGGTGGTGTTTGGCCCAGGCTAGCCTTCATCACAGAGATTCACTAGTCTCTGCCTTCTGAGTGGTAGGATTAAAGGTACTCTCCACTATGGCTTGCTGGCCATTTTTTAAGGTTGACCTTTAGGTTTATGAGCTATGTTTTATATAAAATTTAGAATTATATTTGTTTAAAAAACATACATATTTTGCATTTTAATATATTTATTTCTTAACATTTTTGTTTGGTACATTTTTGTGCATCTATCTGTGAATTTGGATAAGTAAGTGCAATGCCTATAAAATCCAGAAGAGTGTATTGGACCCCTGGGAGCTGGAGTAAGAGGAGGTTGTGAGCTGCCTAAGGTGGGTGCTGGAAACTGACCCTGCATCCTCTGACTGAGTGCTCTTAACCACTGAACAATCACTCCAGCCCACTTTTACATTTTAAATTCATTTGTGTTCATGTTTTGTATGTGGAGTTCAGAAGAAAACTTAAAGGAATTTGTTCTGTTTTTCCACTATTTAGATCCCATAGGATAAACCATGTATATTAGGCTTGGCAATAAGACACTGCCTGCTGAGCCATCTCACCAGCCCCCCACCAATCTAATCTAAACAAGAATTAAGATAGGCTGTGGTGACCAAGCTTTGTGTTGTCTCCTTTGCATTGTTACAGGCTCACACGTGGGATGCTTTTATTTAAAATTATTTATTTTTATTTGAGTGATGCAAGTTTACCTGCATCAGTTTATGTGCACCACGTGTTTTCAGGAGCCTATAGAGATAGAGATTCCCTGGAACTGGAGTTGCAGGCAGTTGCGAGCCACCATGCAGATACTGAAAATCAAATCAGATCCTCTGCAACATCAGTCATTTCTCTTAACTTCCTAGCCACCTGTCCGGTCCCCTACAAGAACTAATTGTACAGACAACAGTTTATTCTGACATTTTAAAGATACATGAATAGAGGTGCATACTTGCAATCTATGATTCCTCTGTTTTGTACATAATGGTGTTTCCTCAAAAGGTAGCAACACAAAGGACTTCCTCATCAAGGCGAGGCCAGCTCAGTCAATCTTTCAGTGACTGTGGTGGAGAGCTTCCAGCTTCTGTGGCTATCAATAATGCTGTAAGCATTTCCTGTGCATTAATAAACGATGTTCTTTTTCAAAAATAGAGATTTATTTATTATGTATACAGTGTTCTGCTTGCATGATGTCTGCACACCAGAAGAGGGAACCAGATCTCATTGTAAATAGTTGTGAGCCACCTTGTGACCACTAGAAATTGAACTCAGGACCTCAGAAAGAGCAGCCAGTACTCTTAACATCTGAACCATCTCTAGAGACCACCCCCCCCCAAATGATGTGTTCTTAATTCACATGTAGAATGTGTTTTGTGATAAAAGATATTTATAGTTATATTAAGAAAACACACCAGTTGCTTTTCTGTGGCTGTGATAAAATATCAGGATTAGATGTAATTTAGAAGAGAAAAGTGTTTATTTAGTCTTTTGGGTGGAGAGGAAAAGAGTTTGTCATGGGATGGAGGGTGGAGTTGGGGCAGAAGTCAGAAAAGCATGGAGGGAGGAGAAGGAAAATGGTTGATCACATGTTCATGCACACAGGAAGAAGAGAGAGAACAGCAAGTGGAACCAGGCTCTCCACAGTCAAAGTTGGCTCCTTCCCTCCTAGTGATGGAGTAAGGATGCACCTCCCAAAGATTATATAAGCTTCTCAAGCAGCATCACCAATTGGGAGGAACTTTACAGATACCATATTCTATAGAGGACGTTTCTCATTCAGATACCCACAAGTAATTTCTCTGAATCAAATAAAGAAAATTTCCAGAACCTTCTAGAGATGGATGCACAGATTTCCATTAACCTAAACTGGGGGATGATGTTCCTCATTCAGACCACTGCTGGAATCCTAGCCAATTCCTTCCTGTTTCGTCTGTATACCTTTCCACTGTTCACTGAACAAGTGGTGAGACCCACAAGCTTGATTCTCAGTCAGCTGGTCATATGTAACAATCTGGTTCTTTTCTCCAAAGGTATCCCTCAGACAGTGGCCACTTTTGGGTTGACATTTTTCCTGGAGGAGTCTGGGTGCAAAGTTATTTTCTACATACACAGAGTGGCCAGAGGGGTCTCCCTCAGCACCACCTCCCTCCTCAGTGGCTTTCAGGCCATTAAGCTTCACCCCAACACTTGTGGGTGGCTAAACCTCAGAATTAGATCCCCAAAGTGCATTGGCACCTGCTGTTTCCTTTGCTGGATCCCACAGCTTGTGCTCAACATCCCTGTTTCCATGACTAAAACTGTCCCCCAAAATAGCAAAAACCTGAGTGCTAAAGGATTCTACAGATACTGTTCCTCAACTATGCCTGAGAAATTAACTTTCTTACTAAAAGCAGTGATTTTATCCCTAAGTGATATTACGTGTCTGGTCATCATGGCCTGGGCCAGTGGCTCCATGATCCTTGTCCTTCGTAAGCACAAGCATCGAGTCCAGCACATCCATAGCCACAGCCTCTCCCCAAGGCCTTCCCATGAGGACAGAGCCACACGAACCATCCTGATCCTGGTGACCATGTTTCTCTCCTTTTACTCTGTAGCTTCCATGTTATCACTTTGGCTAACTCAGACTGTGAACCCAAGCCATTGGCTACTGAACACCTCTGTTCTGCTGTCACTGGGCTTCCCAGCACTCAGCCCCATTGTGTTCAGTGTCAACAATATTTGTGTCCCTCATTTCTGCTCTGTCTTTTGGACAAAGAAAGCAGATGGTCTAACTATGGTCTCTGAGGTTGTAGTCGCCTCCAGGACATGACAACTTTAATGTAATTACCTTTTCTCGATATTTGAGGCATGAATGATTGTTACCATGCTTGTTTCTCTGTAAAAACTTTGGGATTTGGTTAATAAAAATGATAATTATTGCTTCATACTTCTTCTTAGACTATCAAAAAGTGAGCATGGTATAAAACCTAAAGAAATGACTATTCCTTTTTTTAAAAAAAAAATCCCATATATTTACACACCAAATCTCTACATAATGTATAGTATCTACATAACATGTGTAAATGATATATAATCCCATGCAATTACCCTCTTCATCTCTACAAAATTTATATAAAATCTATATAATAATTCACATAATATATGATCCCATATAATTACCCTCTAAATCTCTAAAGTTTGCACTCTGAAGTCTAAGACCATTGAACTTGGAGTTCAAGTACACCCTCGGGTACTTAACCAGCTAGATCTCCGCCTAGGCTAAATGAAACACTGTCTTTTAAAACCTTGCCATTCAATTCAGTAATTCATTGCTGTGATGGCAGTATGTGTACTTCCAGCTCCCAAAAGAAAGAAACAGAATCATCAGGAATTCAAGGTCATTCTGGCTTACAAATTGAATTGAAGCCCAATCTGGGCTACACAAAGCACTATCTCAAGAGACAAGCAAGCAAAGACACAAAAGCAATACTGAAATTCACCAATCCCACTCTAATTCGGAGAACTGAAAGAAAGGACACAAGCAGAATCCATAGGGTTGTCCCAGTAGCCAGGAGCTGGAAACAACAGAAATGCCAAAGGATGGAAGAACAGATAACATATTGATATTCATGTAGAATGCATGAAGTGACATTAATCTAAGTGTACCAAGCCAGACAAAAGCTAACTACATAACTCTTCATATAGATGGTACATAAAATGAAGTCATAGACTCATCAGTGGTTCACCAGAGCTGCGGAGAACAGGAATTCTAACATCAGTGTTTAGTGGACACAGTTCCTTTTCTGCTTGATGTAAAAATTTCAGGGTAGGAGTGCTGTGACGACCCTACAGTAAAAAGAATGTATTTACAGCAACTCAATTTGAATGAAATTGGCCAAGTATTTTATTTCATGTTATCTATATTTTACCACAATAAAAATGCCACCAAGGAGTGATAGTTTATCAAAAGGTGAATAGAATCATCTGTCAGAGAGATGCTTGTCTCCTCTTCACAGCAATATATAGTGAAACTCTTGGGAATACCTTTCAGGGCAAGTGAAACCATTGTCATAACTCCATTACTGCACAAACTGCTGATGGTTATTTTATGACTGAATTTATTGTTGACATGGGAGAAGAGATAGAAGTCTCATTCTTTCTTTTGACTTCAACATTCCTCAAAGGCCCCGACTCCTTCAATGCAGGTGTGAGCACAGCCTGTGGTTGAAGGTGGGATTGCAATGAGTTCCCTAGACCCAAGATAAACGGTAAATGGGTGTTTTATTAGGGAACAACTTACACGGGTAATAGTAAAGAACCACCTCGGTGTTCCCGCTCCAGAAGATGCAGTCTCTACCCCTCTGATGCTCTCCTTGACCCAAGAGAGCTTATTTACTTTAAAGCAGTGAAGTCTGCACCAGAAACCAAGCCCAAAGGGGTGTGGCCACCAACACAAATTCACTGGCAAGGCCAGATGCTGCTATGTGTGGTGATGCAAACCTGTCATTCTGCATCCCTCTTTGTTTTGTTACCAGCTTTCCCTCACGTTTGGGTCTTTTATTTGTCCCACTGATGTACAAGTCTGCTTTTGTACCAGTACCATGCTGGGTTTTTTTTTCTCTTTTAAATAACTCTGGAAGCTGACATCTTCAATGGCAATCCTTCTATGATTGTTCTTTTTGCTCAGGTTCCTTTGGTAACTCTAACTTCTGTACCTCCATATGAATTTAGGCTTTTCTTCTTTTTCTGTAATGGGTACTGTGGTGATTCTTTAAAAAAAAAATAGGATTGTATTAAGCCTGTAACTTTATTTTGGCAGTAGGATCATTTTCACACCGTTTTTTCTGCCATTCCATAACCATGGGAGGTATTCTACTCTCCTACTTTCTTTCTTTGTCTACTTTTTGGAGATTTAAAATGTCACTGTTAGAGGTTTTTCACCTCCTTGGTTAGGATTATTCCTAGAATAACAGAAGCAACAGAACACAGAAGCAATGTTTAGTAGGATGGATCAGTCAAAAGACAGAAATGGAAAACCATCAATAATTATTGAAGATGAGTCTCAATATATACACCCAGGAATGCTATCAAGAGGATACAGCCATAGCTTCATTTGATAGGAGTCCCCTACTCTGGCTAAACTGAGAGGCCATACTGTAGGAATTTTAGGACTGGTTTTGTATGACAGACACTTTTTGTTTGTTTAGGGTTTTGTTTTGTTTGTTGTTTTGTTTTTGTTTTGAAACAGGATATCTCTGTGTAACCACTCCAGCTGTCCTAGAACTAACTCGTAAACCACCTGGTCTCAGACTCACAGAGATGCTCTGCCTCTGCCTCCTGAGGGCTGGGATTAAAGGTGTGCATCACTACAATCCAGTCAATAAAAGAACACTTTTTAATATATGCATGAGGTAAAAGGGAAAAAATGCTGCTCAAAACCGTATGATAGACAGAGATAAGGAAGCGAAGTGAGGGAAAAAGATGAGTAGGGAATCATTTTAGTATTTATCTTTAGGTTTGATATAAACTCTATAAAAGATTTAGCTTTTATGTTATCTAAATTCACTCTCAAATTGGTTATTTGACATTTATTATGAATTGCAATTTTGTCAGGCTTTTTACAGAGCCTTTTGTGTTAAGAATTATTGCCTAGGACTATGTTAAGCATTTAGCAATAAACATGGATGAGAAACTATCTCTGTAGTAAGTTGTGGAGTCTTTTGGGTATATGCCCAAAAGTTGTGTAGCTAGGTCTTGAAGGAGGTCAGTCTCCGGCTCCCTGAAGAGCCTCCCACTACCTTTCATAGGTGTTGAGCCAATCCCCATCCCTACCCACAATCCCTACCCACAGTAAGTGCCCTTTGCTTTCTCACATCCCCACCAGCGAATGAAGCTGTTTGTTTTATTGATGTTGGCTACATTGAGTGGGGAAGGATAAAGTCTCAGAGGTGGTTTAATTTGCAGTCTGTGCCAGCCTTTTATGATGCTTTTGGAATTGACTTTATCAGTTTTTACTGTTAGGCTTTCTTCTCCTTTGGCTCGGCAGTTAGCCTGTGTGTTCACACAAAGGTGGTAGACCCTGGGTGACCAATCCCTCCTATGTGTTGTCCCAGACAAGGCAAATAAGTTCCTTCTGGTCCAGGAAAATAGTGTGTGTTATGTTCCCCTATGAGGCATTGCATGATGTAAGTTGTTCCTTATGACACCTCCACATTTCCAGGTGGGAGGGAACAGGTGGCTCTTGCCTTTAGTGAGTTTATCATCAGGAACACATAAAATCTCTAAGCTAAAGGTTTGGCAACATCAGAGGAGAAGCAGCAGAAGAATGTAGAATGATGCATTTGAGGAGGAAGGTCAGTATCAAAGGCCAATTGAGAATGAATCAAGCACATTTCAAGACAAAGAAAATCAAGACAAACAAAATGGAACTTAATATGCCTTCAATATTCCCAAACCAAACAAAATCCAAAATGCCTTTAGAGATCTAAAAGCAACCAAGCATGCAAATCAGTGTTTACAAAACAAAACCCACACCGCAAAATGCTTTCAAAGCAAATAAACTAGATATTTTAAAACAAATGCATTGAAAACATACCAATAAAAGCTTTCTATCAAATTAGGATCTTGATTAGCCAACTGAGAATAAATGTAATATACCTTCAGCCAAACCAAAGGAGGTCCACAGTCCTGGAATTAACTCTTCACCGATCCACCTGAGGAAATAACACCAGATGGTGTCCATGAAGACACTTGGCTTCTATTCAGGCCATCTCTCTGGGGAAAAATGGATCATTCTCAGAACCCAGCATTGTGGCATTATAATTATGAACACAAAACCACAGCTCTCATCTTAAAAGGAATAAGAGTGTTAGGAAATATTAATGTATGTTACATTTGTTTATGCTACACTTGTTTAACTCGGTGAAGCTGTGTTACTGTGCCTGTCTAAAACACCTGATGGCCTAATAAAGAGATAAACATGGCAGAAGACAGGAATAGGCAGGGCTGGCAGGCAGCAAGGACAAATATCAGGAGAAATCTGGGAGAAAAGAAGGATCATGGAATGAGAGAGAAGGAGGAGGACTTCAGGAGCCACCCCATTATGCAGCCAGACATGGAGTAAGAAGGAAAGAAAAAGTATACAGGAATAGAGAAAGATAAAAGCCCTGAGCCCAAAGACAGATGGGATAATTTAAGTTAAAAGCTGGCAAGAAACACGCTAAATTAAGGCTGGGCATTCATAGCTAAAAGAGCCTCTGTGTGTGCTTTATTTGGGAGCCGGGTGGTGTTCCCCCTCCCTCCCCAAAAAAAACAAGAGTATAGGAGTAAAAAACAAACAACATAATCAATAGATTATTCTGTAGCCATTTTGGGTGGCCATGGGCCAGAGATAATTTACCGCAAATTCCACATGCCAACATGGAAGTCCACATGCCAACATGGAAGCAGTTTATGAAGGTTTTTAGTTTTATATAACAAAGAAAGCCATAAGTAAATTCAAGTTTAAAATACAATGGTGGGTACATCAGAGAGGTCATTACAGCAAGATGAGGGAAGGCTTTTCTACAGGCCCAAGATACCCTTTGATGACATTCTTAGCTTTTGAGTTGGTAGAAGTTGGTGGTTAGCTAAGTTAATAGATTCCAAAAGGTTTATATCTAGTAGTCACAATATGTTAGTTCATACTGTAATAGGGCTCCAGAACTCAGCTGGCCCACAGATCTTAGCACAACTGACTCCATGATGGAAGTGCTAGTCAGGCTGCAAAACTGAGCACATAAACAATAACATCTGCAAAAACAAAAGCAAAGGCCTAATCCATCAAAGTCC